TTTTTCATTCGACATACTTTATCTTAATCAGGATATTAATAAGGAACTAGCAGTTTATGAAGCTTTTGGAATAATCCACCAATTTTTTAAAATTAAACACTATCTAAAGATTTGCATCGAAGCGTTTTTTTTTATAGTGATTTTAATCACTGTCAGATATCATTATACTTGATCCATCTATACCACGTCACCACTGTGCCGCGACCCCCCTGTGCTGGGTTTTTATCGTTGTATAAGTTGTAAGATTAGAAAAAAATATGTTGAGAATCTGTGAAGAACTCTCCAACTATGACAAATACCATTATTATGAGTCATTATTTAAATTACTTCATGTGATTATACCTTTTCATTGTAAGTTCTTCAAGTTTAAATATATTGAAATCCCAGTACAATGACATATCTAGGAGCTCCTTGATCTGCGGAGTTACACTCAACATGAAGTTAGTTTTAGCTAAACTCAACCCATATTGTTGACTTTTGACAGTAGCAGAATCGTTTGAACTTCTCCTAGTCGATGTAACATGCATATGACTTTGCTATATAGCATACGACGTGAATTGTCATGTATAAGTGATTCATATTGAATTATAATAGTTATTTACCGTAATAAGGGCTCCAATTAAATCTGAAGTAACCGGATCGTCATATTTGATATTTTCAGTTTTCAAGTGTGACGAATAAAGTTCAGTAACACGCAAAATATCTACAACCTATAAAAAAAAAAAAAAATTTTAATAAATCAATGTTAGAAATTAATGTATCAAGAAAACAAAATTTCAGAAAGATAAATATTCTAAAGTAGTAAAAAAAGTTTAAATCAAATTTTTATTCTCTAAGTTATCAAAATTATATCATCCGCAAATAAACACAAAATAAATGTCTTGATTAGTGATTTTTAGTTTATTATTATGATAGTACAAACAAAATTATTAAATAGTTAGTAAAATTCAACTATAACACGGGGAGTATTAAGTTACATTGAAATATTAATTTTGTATACTCATTTTTCGGACAATAAGATTGGATACATCGTGTTTCTTCAAGACATTATGCGTTCTGCATTTTATATTATAAATGTTAGCTTCGATGCGAAGCTGAGAAGGTATTAATTTTACCATGATGTGTTTTTTTTTTTATGTCTGTCACTACTTTTTCTCAGTTCTTACTGAACCGATTTCTTTCAACGATACGTCAAAAGATCACAAATCGTATCTATTTGAAGACATTATCCTTATAAATAGAAAAATTTTCCCTCGTTCTCCGCAAATGGGGGAAATTTCCAAAAAAAATTACAAATTTAAAAATCGGTAAATTTTGTCATTTTTTTCTTAAAATTTCCATAACTTTTTCAAAAATTAACAAATCAACATAATTTTTTTTTAAACTAAGACCTTAGATATTTTCCTTTCATTTGATATCATTTTTTTGAAAATCTAACACTTAACCTGCTTATTGGGGGGGATTTAAAATAGCAACTTTTTTACAAAAACTAACTTTTTCAACTTAATTTTTGAAAATGTTCCGGAAATACTGCGTCCTTTAAACATATATCAAATTAAATCTTATTTTATGTACTATAAAATAAAAAAAAAAAATTTGTCCCGACGACCTATCTTCTATGCGCAAATGGCTACCGTATTCAAAAATATGCTATTTTTGTACTAAAATTCTGGGTTTTGTATTTTATTTTATTTTAAAATATCTTATTAGGGAATACACTGACTTTCATGAATATTATATAATTTAATTGACATAGAATAAAGTTCATAAGACATAGGAAATTACACTTATTAAAATTTGTTTACTTTTTTAAAGTCTAAAAAGTAATTTTTAAATTTCAGTTAGCTTAAATAGCTAATTTTATCATGTGACGAAAGCAACGAACAGTTTCTGAATCTTTAACACTTGTGTCTTTCACGCTGAGTGTACGACGTTCAAGTCCAACTGTGGCTATTAATATTTTGCATTTTTTTTGAGTTAAAATAAAATTTTCAAATCATTTGATTATTATCTCATTTAGATTCAGTAACTTCAATAAATATAAACTATACTATCACTATAGTCTTCCCTCGTGAGAAGAAATTTATATTCATGTTAATTTTATTCTTTGGTTTCAATGTGGTTCTTTTTGTAGCTACGATTTATTTTGCCAATTCTCACTAGACCTACTTTTTTCAACAAATGTCAAATGATTACAATTCGTATTTAGTTTAAGTTATTACTCTTAAAAATCGAAAAAATATTCCTTATTCAAATAAAAAGTAGCTTAACCATCTTTTTCCATACAAACAATTAAAATCAATAATTTCTAATATTCTAAAGTATTTATTCTCGAATTAGATTTGATATGATAAAAGTATTCAACTACAAAAGTAAATAATTTTACTTTGTAATTTATGAATTTTTTAACTCTATTTGTGTGTGCTACTACCAGTCTATAATATTTCAAATTTTTTTGTAACATGTTGCTAAATAAATCATAAATTTAAAAAAAAAAATATTTTTAGTTCCACCTGAATTTAACGATGGATTTTTACAATTATAATCAAATGTTATAATACGCTCAATTGAGTAAATCTTTTTAACAACTTTTTTTTTATTGGTTTTTTTAGATAAATAATCATTAAAATTAATTAAATTCTGAATATTTCCATTGTAGAATCTTTTTAAACACTAAAAGTTAATTAGAAATAATTACTATGGTTTTTATTTAAGTGATCTATTACGATAAAAATGAAAAAAAAATCTAACTTATCTGATAAATGTACTGTAAATAGTAATTATAAAATTTCCTAAATGCATATTAATCTTAACAATTTCATTTTTTTCTATTTAATAATGTCAATTTCAAACTTACAAGTTGAGCTAAAAGTTATAGTAATAAATTCATTTTTTTTTTTATTAAAACTTTCACTTTAAAGGACAAAAAAAAGTAGGTTAAATATGATTTCTTTTAACATATTAAAAATCATAATCAATAATAATTTTAAAACAATTATTTTTAAAAATTATATAATATATAGTTAAAAGAATTACTAATCTGGGTATAATTAAGGAAATAGAAGTTGATGTTGCTTTTGTAATTATCCATCAATTTCTTAGAATTAAACACTATCTACAGATTTGCATCGAATCGTTTCTTATGAGAGTGATTTTAATCACTGTCAGATTAAATCTATATTGGACCCAACTATGCAACGTCCCCACTATGCCGCGACCCCACTGTGCTGGGTTTTTTATAAATAACCTATGTGGTTATTCCATTTTTTTAAAATATGAGTCAAAACAGGACGAAATTAATACAACAAAAGTTTCTTAGTATAAAACAAATATATATAATAAAACTCCAGTTGTAGCTTTGTTATAATTTTTATTATTATTCCGTTTTCTAATTAATAATAAAGATTTCCCAATTTATTAAAAATTTATCTCCAATAAAAATAATTCATCATATTTTAAAAGTTTTATTGTATTCATAATTATAGTACCTAATTTAAAGTGTATAAATAGTTCGAATATAAAATAGGAACTCTAGAAATTTGATAAAAAAAATTTAATACTTTTTATACGTTTAATTATTTAATAGTTTATTCAATTTAAAAAATACTTATTCAGTTGTGTAAATAAAACTATATTTGATAATTTACGTATACAAAAGAAATATAAAAGTATGAAATATTTAATTATATTTTTTTTACAATATTTTTAGTCTAATTAAAATTATCAAAAACATTAAAATTGTAAAATATTTAAATAATGTTGAACATTTCATCTTTATTTTTGTCAACAATTTTTTTATTATGTTTCTACATTGATCATATTCAATTAGATGAGCTGTTATTCAAAAACATAGAATATATAGAAAATGAAATAGTAAAATTGGCCCCCCCCAGCATCTTAAAAAATGTTCCATTGGGTATTTCATTCAAGGAAGTTCAGAAAAATGTAAACAATAGTCGATGGTTATATGAATATAATAAGAGGAGATTGCTTCACAAATACTATGAAGATGCCATGGTGAACCGATCAATGAAATACTTGTACGTATTGGCCTATTATGGTAGTATGACAGCTGGTCTGAAGAATCATGATAAATCTATTGAAAATTTAAGTACCGCGGTATGTACTATAAGTAATTTTTTTTTTTTTATTCATTTAAAAAATGAAGTTCTAATAAACATCAGTAATGCTTTAAAGAATTTCAAACATTTACCAAAAGAACCAAATTCTGTTTTATATTTTGCAATCATACCCCATGTTTTCATTGAAATCATAGAAATCATAAATAATTATTTCAAAGGTAAAAAAATTTCGCAATACTATTTTAGTGATGATATATTTATATTTGACCGAGAACAATTTTGGGATTTGTTTAAATCTGTAATAAGTAAAAACTTAGAAAATGAATATTATCCTCCAACAAAAATTGAAAACAAAAATCAAGAACTAATTGAAGCTATGAACATTCTTATTGCAAACTTATTAGAAGAATATAAAATAATTCTTGATATCGCTGAAAATAACGAAGAGAAATGCGAAATAAATAATTTTATACCATGAGTTTAAATTATAAAGTTTATCAATAAGGAACATTTGAAAAAAATAATATATTATTTATCCACACATATTTTTCTTAACAGCTTTAGTATATTAAAATTAATTATCTCCAACACTGTTTTTAGAATCAAATTTCCACGATGCATGATAGTTCAAAAGTATGTTATTGCATTAAGACAAAACTAAAATTAACCAAATATATTTTTTAAGCTAAATTATGTAAAAAAATATATGAATCATTTTTCTTTACACATTTTTTAATATTCTAGTGTAAAACTTTTCTTAGATAAACTGTCACCTTATTTTTAATTATGTTGATTTTTTTAAATTTAATTTTATATTTTTTTATGGAAATTTTATCTTTGTTACTAAATTAATCAGAAAGAGAAACATATCTATGTAAAATCATCGATTATAAATAATTTAATATCTTTTTTAAACAGGGTTCTCTTATAGCACTTTTATTTTAAATTGCAATCTAGGTTGTCACTTTTAAAAACTGGTTTGATACAGTTTCTAACGAAGAACCGAAAACCTAACCAGGACTTCAAATTATTTGTTTTTAAGAACCCTACCAATAACCAGTTTTTTTAAAGGTTCTTAAAATTAATTGTAAACTATGTCGCTATGTAAGTCTAAATGACTCATGCGTTACTATGCTAAAATAATAATTATATTATTATCACGACAATATTTGGCGGTAGAAATCATAATAGTGTACATTTTTCGCAGTATATGTAGAAGGTTTAGTTAAGGGCTTAAAACAGAACCATTGTGTATTCTATTCTTACCCTATAATCTTCTGTTACTTTGCTCACATTTTTTACCCTGGTACAAGTTCCATCATACAAATCCTCTATTATATTAATGTACCTTTTTGAGAATCTTTTTCTCATTAATGCCCAATATTTTTAAATTTCTATGGCTTTTTAATTTTTTTTTTTATTTATAAAGATTGTTTTATTTGTTGGAAAAAGGCTAGGAATACTAACAATTCTAAAAAAGTACTCTGGTGTAAATGATAAATAACTAAAATGTTTTATTATAAAATGTGTGTTATATTGGTAAAAAAACTATAAAAATATTTTTAAAACTGCTTTAATTGCTTAAAGTATATTATAAAAATGTAATAATAAAACAGTGATAGTTTATTCAATTTTAAGTTACTTTTTTTAAATGGGGTTATTTCTTAGATTAATTATTAATATTTATGTTGATATATAGTATAAATGCGATTTGAGGACAGCTGATGTTTGTGTAGATGATGTGGGAGATGGTGTCATGTGGAAGTTTAGGATAAGGGTGGCCGACCCCAAGTAGTTGGGATTAAGGTGAGGAAGAAGAAAAAGAAGAAGATATATAGTACCAACCTCAAAAAAATAATATTTAAAAAAAATACAAATTAAATAACAATAACTAATTTTAATTAGAACCCATTAGAAGCGATGCTAAACCGGAACTTTTAAAAAGGTTCAAACCCTCTAATAGAACCGAAACCTCTTAATTTTTTATTTTAGGAACATCTTTAAAAACAGTTCCTAAAAATCTCAAAGATTCTAACCCCTGGTTTTAAAATACCAGTAATAAAATATATAGTAGAAAATGTAACATACTTTATCGAGAATTTGTACTACTTGATCATTTGAATTTTCTTGAGCTGTACAAATTAATGATATGACTTTTGTAATTGGCGCTTCCAATGGTAAATTATGAAGTTTTGCTAAACTTTGTCTTCGTGCAGATTGAGCTCCTGGAAAGTTTTTTTTATCATTAATGAATATAATTAATTTTAAATTACTAAAATTTAATTTTAAAAAAAACCAGCACATGGGGGTCACGGCACAGTAGGGACGTGGCATAATTGGGTCTAGTATAGAAGTGTAATAAATAAATAAATATATATATATATATTATAAAAAATATAATGATCCATACATGTTACAAAAAGTTATAGCTTTATAAAGTTAAAATATAAAAAAAAAATGTGTTACAAAAATTGTATTTATTTATTAACTTTGATGTTAGTTTTCACCGTAAAAACAAAATAAAGTCCGAATTTTTTTTTTCTATAATAAAATATATTACATACGTTTTAATTTAAGATATAAATAAAAGTGTCAGTATTTCCGAAACATTGAATATCTCCCTATAGGCAGGTAAAGGGTCAGATTTATAAAAAATATATAAAAATGATAGGTAAAGATATCATGCGTCTATATAAAAAAAAATTATATTGCTTTGCAAAAAGTTATGGCAGTTTTAAGTAAAAAAATTGAAAAAATTTCGAAAATAAGCGATTTTTAAATTCATAATTTTTTTGGAGATTTCCCTCATTTACAGGGAACGAGGGAAATTTTTTCAATTTTTGAGGGTAATATCTTCGACTAGATACTATTTGTGATCTTTTGATGTATCGTTAAAAGAAATCAATTCGGTGAAAGCTGAGAAAAATTAGTAACAGACACAAAAATAAATTTAAAAAAAAACACATCATAATAAAATTAATACCATCTCAGCTTCGCATCGAAGCTAAAATATAATATATAATTGTAATATAGTATTTCAAATTATAATTATTATAATATTAATATTAAACTATACATGCACCATCCAATAGCATACGGATGTATACCTGACTAAAAACTTATTTATTTTTCTTGATTAATTATCCATGTATTATTACTACCAGAATATTCAACTAATTGCTTATTAAAACAATTTATTAAAAATCAATAAAAATTATATTTAGTTTCACAATATTGTAGAAAATCATTTTATTCTTAGTTGAAAACAATTTCAATTCTTAATTACTAAAAATCGAGTTTTATTGAATATATTATCAATTTTATTAGTCGTATTATTTTTAATGAAAAACGTGTTTTAGCAAAAATATTCATCATTATAATAATTATTTTAATTATTCTGGAATAAAGCAGTGTATATACAAAATTCAGAAAATTAATGCCAAAGCAAAAGTTTATGTATAAAAAGTTAACATGCATTATTGTACTAAACTTACCATCACTATTAATAGATTTAAGATCATATGATCCTTTGCGTATAGAAGGCACACTTCCTCTAGGGTAACCATGATTGTCACTAGTAGTTTCTTGAACGTATATATAGTTTGTTGTTTCTCTAAATAAAAAAAAATTCAAATTACAGTTATCATATTATTCAACCTTAAGCAATTTTTATAAAAAGGTTTATCAAAATTCAAAAATTTTAAGTTAAAATTTGAATATTAATAAATATATATTAAAAACCTAGCAAAATATCAATAAGTAAATTTTAAAATTATAAAATTTCTTAATCAATTTTATCAGATTTGATAGGTAATAACAAAATTTGCAACGGATTCACTTTAAAATAAAGGATTTAAACTTTTAATTGATTTGAGACACGGTTTTCAAAAACGATCGGATTTAGAAACTGATTTCAGGCCGTATAAGGTTATGTTTTCGGTAAGAAAATCAGGAAAAAAACAATTAATATCGGTTATGACCAGATTTGGAATACCGGAGTCTTTGTTCTTAACAATGTATTTTTATAGATACTACTTTTAAAAAATCAATGATTGGAAAAACTTAAAATGTTTTATAGAAAACAAAGATATAGAATTGGACTAATACAAATAAATTATTTCTAATAATTCAATTCTAACTCGAATATAACTTACAAATGATCAAATGATCTATATATCAAATAAGTTAATCATTGTAAATCTTAGGGCTAATTTTTTATAATCTAGATTTATAAAAAATCCATTTTATAATATTCAAAAAAATTAACGAATTCGTTCTACCCACTCCTCTCATTTTGAAGTTTTTCAATTTACAATAGCTAAAAAAATTAATTCTTCATTTATTTGATTCATTTTTCAATATGCTATATTAGAAAATAGTTGTTAATGATTGCCACATATTTAATATTGTTATATTCTATAACTTTATTGATTTTTCAGTCAATTAAAAAAAAATTGAATCAACACATAAGTAAATTTAATGTGTATTAGTTTGGTGTCTTTACATCAAATAATAATTATGCTGTCATTTAAAGTAGCAAGGGAACAAATTATCCCTTTCTAATAAATCTTCATTAATAAGTTCATTCTTAATTCCAGGTACTTTATTTAGCCCTAAGGTCCCAAGAACAATAATACTTAATTATTTAAATTCTTATAATAATGACATGGTAGTAAATAAATTATTCATATAAAGTTCATGATTAAAACCATGAAGTAAATAACACAATTACAAAACCGTCTCATCACTTGGCCTAAAACAAGATATTTGATTATTGTTGTAAGTTGGTAATGTTCAATGTACATAACCACTAGTACTGGCTTTTATCCATGTTTTAAAATCTCATATTTTGAGCTTAAATTTAAAATATTGTTAAATTTTTCAGATTTTTAGACTTGTGACATTCGTGCACTCATATTTATTTAAAAAAAACTTTTAATCAATTAAAAATATTTTTGTTAAAAATTTAAAAAGATTTTACAAAATCTTTATTTTATTTTATTTTTATTGGGTTAGTTATTCTTTCTATTGTTTCTACTTACTTTCCTAATGCTTTGAAAGGAAATGCTCGACATTGAAGGTACACGTGTTCACCGTTCTTACACTTCCATGAAACTTTTCCATCCCATTCAATGTTCTTTTCTAATTTTTTAGTAATTTGGTCAATATCACCAAGTTGATGAAAAAGAGCTAATGGTTTGTTCAATACATCCTCAGTGTTATAACCCATAATAGATGAGCCCGATTTGTTCATATACTGAAATCATATAACACATTAAGAACAGGGTAAATTTTAAAGCATAAACCCAAGTAGCATTGGATGGAAATTTAGTCCAGGCAGTAAATAGTAATATTAAAAGCTTCTCAATAGTCGTCACAGTAAAAAAATTAATTGGAATTTTTCCGGGTGCATTGTACCTGATAGTATCTTATTTTTTTTTTCAGCTCTCACCGATCCGATTTCTTTCAATGATACGTCAAAAGATCACAAATCGTATCTAGTCGAAGACATTACCCTTAAAAATTGAAAAAATTTCCCTCGTTCCCCGTAAATGGGGGAAATCTCCGAAAAAATTACAAATTTAAAAATCACTAATTATCGAAATTTTTTCAATTTTTTTTACTAAAAACTGCCGTAAATTTTTTCAAATAAACATATCAATATAATTCTTTTTTTTATAGATGCATGATGTCATTACCTATCATTTGGTATATTTTTTTTATAAATCTGACTTTTTACCTGCCCACAGGGGGGACTTAAAATGACAACTTTTTTACAAAAAATTAATTTTTTCAACTTAACTTTTGAAAGTGTTCTGGAAGGTCTGACACTTTTATATATATCTTAAATTAAAGCTAATGTAATATACTTTATAATGGTAAAAAAAAATTTCGGACTTTATTTTATCTTCAGGGTGAAAATAGCTACCGAATGCTATTTTTGTGTGAAAATTTTCGATTTTGTATTTTACATTTTTAACATTATAATGCTATAACTTATTGAAAAGTGTATTGATCAATATAATTTTTTTATGGGAAATACTATTTTTTAATATTCCTTTTTTCATTCGACATACTTTATCTTAATCAGGATATTAATAAGGAAATACCAGATCATGTATGTAGCTTTTGGAATAATCCACCAATTTTTTAAAATTAAACACTATCTGAAGATTTGCATCGAAGCGCGTTTTTTTTTTATAGTGATTTTAATCACTGTCAGATATCATTATACTTGATCCAACTATGCCACGTCACCACTGTGCCGCGACCCCATTGTGCTGGGTTTTTTTAAATGATAACTTACATATTTAATTAGCTTATAAAATAACAAATTATATAGTCATTAAATTAACCTTCTTAATTAAATAATATTCTGTTTTATATGTAAGTTGACATCCCTATAAGTTATAAGGGATGATCTTAAAAATTAATTATTAGTTGATAAATCAAGCATTATATGTAAATGAAAGATATCAGAAATTATTTTTTTAATGTTGTATTTATTTTGCGAGTAATTGAGTAGTTTATGATAAACTGATCACTCTATAATTATTTACTCTAATTGTAGTTAACTAAAAGCAAAGCGAAAGAACATCAAATCATCCCAAAAATTACCCTTCCTTGAACATTTAATATGAAATTTCTAAATAGGCAACGCAACTAGAATACAATTTTTGGGTTTTCTAATTCATATTTTCATTACCCAAAAATTTTTTGCAAGATTTTAAAAAGCAAGAAACTAGGTCTGTTACTAAAATTTCTTATCTCTCTTTATTATGAATTTTAATTGTAAAAAATCTTATTATTATACGCCAATTTTTAAAGTTTTACAAACACAAATTTGCGAGGAACTATTTCTTAGGATATATATGTTTGCGACACATGTATGATAAAAAAATTTGATGTATTAATTTTTATAATTATTTTCCATTCCCCAGCCTTACTCACTTTTCATACTGATTAAAAATCCAATATTAGCAATATATTAAAACTGTTCGTAACATTTGTTTTCTCTTATTTATTATAATGTGAAGTAGATTAAGAGAAATTAATTAAATATTTCTAATAAGTAAAATATTAGGTTTTGATATAATACAGATAGACAGATGTATTAATTGCAGTTTTTGATATACCTTTAGAGAAATTAGAGAACCTAACTATTTTTGAAAGGGTCTTCCTATTTTCAACAAAATTTTGGTTATTTATTAATTTTTCAGTATCAAATAAAGCTGTGTACGACAATAAAATAAAGTTGTTAATCAAAGTTGCATCATTTCATATTTTATAAATTTTCAAAATAAAACTTTTAACTCAAGAAATAATAAAATTAATGGGTCTAGTACGTGTCAAGAATGTGTAATAATGATTTTAAGTATTGCATAATAAATATTTTTATAATACAAAGTTTCATTTCGTATATAATTAAGTAAAAAGTGAAAATGATAAAGATTAAAAATGTATTAACGAGTTTTTAAGTATTTTCGCAACCCTTCAGCGATAAATAAAGTTAAGATAACTGAATTTTGTAGATCATATTATTCTTCTTGCCCCTCAAGCACCTTTTTTCACATTGAAGGTCTATTATTTTGCAAATTTATCTTAAATCGTTTTATAATAATAAGTATATCTCAATAGAGTATATAAATATTATCAACGACTCCAACGTCAAGGTAATAATAATATATACTTATAAATTGTATTAACTTGTTTTAGAAAATTTAATAAATTGAAATTCAAAAGTGTGGAAATAATAAAATGTAATAATAATAATAACAAGTGTAGATAAATACTTGTATATTATGCTTGAGGTCAGTTATGATTACTATGTCTTTGGTCTTATCCATAGCTGCCAAAATTGCATCTTGCTGTGCCAACACTGATCGGACTGCGACATCATCCCTTTCCAACTGATTCAACTCTTTAATCCAGGTATTTTTGTTACATGATTCAATCATAATCTATTGATGAAAAATTAATCATTACGAAAATAAGTAAATAATATCTACACATAACTTCTAGAGTGTTGGTTCAAAAGTTTGTCATAGACAAGTCATTTTCTTGATTAGACAATTATCTAATAAATAAGCTAATTAATTATGTATGTTCCCATTTGAAAAAATTAAGTTATTATTCTTTTACAATATAAGATATGATCATAAAAATTGTTTCATAATTCGTAAATTAAAAAGAGGTCACTAAAACAAACCAAAAAAAAAATCCCAATTTTTTTATTAACTTAATGGTATAAGAAAACAGAATCCACCTGTATATTACATAAAAACAATAGCCTTAGGAAAAAACGAGGTGATATTAAAGATTATAATATTGAGTTGTTGAATAGTATTTTTTCGATAATAAAAATAATAGTAGGACGATTAACGATGTTAATTTTAGTTAAAAGTTTATTTTTAAATAATATTAAAATGTTAGCCAAATTACAAAAAATACAAAATTGATTCATTGTGAATTTTAAAATCCAATATCTTTCATTTACATTAAAAACATTAATTTAAAACTTCAAACTTATTTTCTTGTAATTATTAATTAAAACACATTAATTAGCTTTATTTAATTGTTAATATAATTATTTTAACAATATTTCTATAATAAATTTAGGATAAAAATTATTTAAAAATAAAAGTTTATTGTATATTTATTTGTAACTAAATAAATATATCTATATAAATTGATATCCATTTAGATATTGATATAATATATCAATATTATCAATATATTAGTTTAAATTGAATATTTACCCAAAAACAAAGTTTAAACATAAAAAAAATAAATAGGAAATAAATACATAATATCTAATTACACTAGTGTTTCAGCAATTAATTAAACTCTAAATAAACATTCGATAAACGAAAATTTAATAATAATAATACAACTTTATTATTCCATTAATTAAAATAAATATTTGTTTAATACACGATATTGTTCAATAAATGAAACAGTGTGCTTTGACATTTTTGTTATACAAAATGTATGTACCTATCAATTTATTTTTCGGTCAAAGAGTACATCATTTTTTTCACATTGGGAAAATTACTATATGTACCGTAGGACAGTACAACGTCATGGTTTTAAAAAAATGTTTAATATTTTGGTTTTTAAATTATTACAAAGAAACCAGGTTGACTCATCCAAAAATTGTGTGAAATTTATTTACAATTTTTATAAGAAAATAATTATTTGTTAAAAAAAATATAATTTTTGTTAATGTAATAACATAGATTATAAATTCTATAATCATTATTAATATGTTGATATTGGATATTATTATACTACAAAAAAAGTGTTTTAAATACTGTAATTATCAATGCTTATACCATCACTTAAAAAAACTATACGAATAAAATATTTTGTTAATTATCATAAAAATAAAACCAATTTTTTTATATGTTGTGTGAAATTCAAAGGTAAGTAGAGTATAATTTTTTTTTTTAATTACTATTATGGTATCATATTTGAATTTCCATTTAAATTTTAACTTCAATACAAAACTTCGAAAATAGTGGTTTTAAAATTAAGTATTGTATTTTCTTTAATGCCACTTAAACTAAATCATTATTTAAACTTAAACTTAAACATTAAACAAAAGTATAAAAAAATGTCCACTTTAATGATGATTGTAATTTTTTAGTCTAATTTATTAAATGAAATCGATATCTTGAATACAATATGCTTAATTTTTTTTCTTTAAACATTGATAAATATCATATTATAACTTGTGTTCGTAATAATAATTTAATAATTTATACTTATCATATTTCGAATATTTAACTAAAAAATGTGTATTCAGTTAGAGAATTGGATAATTATTTTAGTTCTGATTTGACATTCAATTAGTTAGGAGTCTAATCCTATCTACATAACCTATACTTCGAAATTTGAGAATATTCAATATAAATTTTTAAAAATACTATTTTTTAAGATGAATCTACCTATTTCTAGGGATTCTATTACGTCAGTAGTGGACTCAATTGACCTTTATATATGCATAATCAGGTGTAAATTAGCAGACTTTATGTTTATTTACGACTTTATAAATGTAAAAATATATTGAAATGAAACTTACAATTCCCAGAGTGAATTATTTCACGACTTTATACTTTTAACGTTAAGTTAATTATCTTAACATAAATGACGGATCGGTGTTTTACTTATACAGTCGAATAATAGGCTAAAAAACAATCTATTCTATATTTTTTTTTTTTGCTAATGACACGATTCTTTTAATAATATACAAATCCAATAATTACATATAATACGAACATTAAGTAATAAGAAAAAAAAGGAGTAACATCACCCAGCCACTTGACACTTCTTCGGCCGCGTGATATCGAAATGCTTGAGATTTCCACAACAATACTTCTTGGCCGACGCCAACAATCCTGAGTGCCACGATTAATTTTATAGTGACAAGACGCACTAACTCGACGAACCACAGAAAAGGAAACACCACCGGTGTGTGGACGCTAAGGACACCAACTCCAAATATGGATTGAGCCTTTAGTAACCGTACGTTGGGGCTTCGCCTATACAGGCCGACACAAACCCAACAAGAAAACTATGCCAGCTCACTGGCTACGAGTCATTGGACTCAACGGTTCGATATAACGTCAACCGCGGACACACGCGTAGTGACAGCAAGCTGTCGGTAGTGCCGGACACGATTGTCGTCATTACATGGAGAGGGGTAATGCGATTTCGAGCTATGTGGAACTTGACCGGCTACACACATAACTTTTGTACAATTAATTTTAATATTGATTGCCCTGAACTACTATTAAGGGCTTAATTTCTTACCTTAGTTCATTTTTCTATAATACCATTTTTATTTAATGTTCCTAAATTTAATACTAATTTAGTAGATATGTCTTTTTCCCCTAGAGCTTTGTTATTAGACAATTCAGTATGTATGTATAGTGAATTTTTTGAATCGCATCAAGATCATTTTAAAAATAATGTTTTGTCAACCCTTAGATCTACTTTCTATTCATAATTTTTGTACTTATTAATTTTTTTTCATAGCTTTTATATGGATAAATATGTTATATATAAATACTTTAATAATATGAATTATATTTCATAGATATTATTTACCATCAGTTATATTATTTAATGATTTGAATTTCTTTTTATTGTAATGTTATATAAATAAATAATGTTATATTATTAATCGATAGTAAAATTAAATATTTTTTCCTAAAAATATGTTACGAATAAAATAAAACATACAGAATGAATTATTTTGAGTAAATATAATATTATTGACTAATAATCACACTTTATATGATATAAAATATATAAAATGTTAAATAATGGTAACTTGCTTGTCTTTTAGTATCTACGAAATATAAAGCTACAAAAAGTAGTTGGCTTAAAATATACTTAAATAAGTTAAATTATGTAAGTTTCTGTTAACTTATATACTGTACTACATCAAAACTGTATTTTATCAATATTTAATGACATGTAAAGTAGAATTATACGAAATATTACAGTCATATTAAAATTCTAACAGATTACTCGTGAAAAAAAAATCAAACTTAAATAATATATGATATAAAATAAAATATGATGTTATTTATTTTATTTATAGGTCAATAACAACTTTTGAATCAGCATTTCAGAAATTATTAGTATTTAAAAATTATAAATTTGGGTGAAGCGCTGGTCTATTTATTTTTCATCTCAAAGCGTTTCTAGAACTGCTTATAAGAACTGATATTTATATCTTTTTTAAATAATGTTTCAAAAGTTGTTATTGACGAGTCATTTTCTTGATTACATAATTTTCTAGTTTTTAATATAGTCAAACATGTCATCATATAAAAACATATAAGTTAGTCAAATTTTAAGAGAGAAAGAGAGGGAATAGAACTATTCTATTTTGTTAATTAAAGTGTGTAGGATAAAATAATTTCTAAAGAAAAAATTATAAATTTTTTTATATATTTGAAGTTATTATGTGAGACATAGCTAGCGGATTACATTGCATTGAGGTAAAATTATTAACTATTTAATTAATTTTGTATATGGAAGAATTAAATACTAAAATAAAAGTTAATATTATAAGTGGAATTTAGTCACAAGTAGTCCATATTTAAAATTAATATCATGCGTTAAAATTTAAAGGATATTGATGTATAGCTTTATCATATATTTCTATTTATAGCGTGTTCTGGTAATATATGGGTAATTAAATTTTAGATATGCTTAGCTGTACTATTACAATCCCTTAACATATTACTCAACGATATCTTTATTGTATAATTCAATTCTGTGAGGCTTATGATACAACCAAGGAATCAGTTAGTGACGTTCTCTAGGCAAACTACAAGATTTTAAACGAGAAGCTTAACCTGAAACTTATAAAGGTACCCATATCTTAAATGAATAAGATAATACCTGTCATGATAGTGACATGAAATTGTGTTATCATAACATTTTGTCTACAACAAAGACATATACCTATTATCTTTTAGGCTGTTATATACCATGTTACCCCCATTGTGAATAAGTCACCCGCAGGTTATAAAAACTATTGTTTTACCTAATATACAGTCTCAAACACATATCTAGTATATTTAAGGTTAAAGCAAACTACTACAATTACACTTTAAACTTCTTAATTGACATAGATCTTTATTAACCATAATATTTAACTTTGTGTTCTATTATTAAATTTAAAAATACATATTTTGACTAAAATGCAGTAATAAAATTAATTTGTTCGACCTAGTAAATAAAAAAATGACTTACTTTATTAAATCCACTGGTTAATAATAATGTAACATCACTTTCGTTTTTTTCTACAAAGCTGTAATAATATATTTGAAAAGTTAAAATGTGTTCAACAATGATTTTATCAACTAATTATATTTACCTTTTTCTGACCAACGCGACAAGTACCACATAAGAATTTCGTTTATTTGAACGCAGTGATCTGAAAAAGAAAAAATAATATAGATTGCCGTGGCATAATATAGAGACACAATTTTTCAAAAATAAGTTAATAATATTGATTGAATTATATCAAACAATTTTATGCGAAAAAATAAAAGTAAATTTAATATATATTTAATAAACATTTCAATTCAATACAACCCCTACTATTGCATTAAATAATTTCTACCCATTATACATATTTTTATGGGTACAAAAAAAATTAATTTGAGTGTAAAATGAAGTTATGTTATTTTTTATGCTTTTTTAATAGAAAAGGCTTGATTAAGGAAGATCAGTAATAGACAAAATTCTTAATGCATTAATAATAATATCTCATAAGTCAATAATTGAAATACATATTATTAAATAATTATTATGAAAGATCAATTTTAGATTAGATCAATCAAATTTTTATATAATCAAAATAATAATGTCAATACATCAATATTGCATTTTACTCTAACACTGATGTAAGTTTATATAAAGGAATTAGATATATGATATCCGTTTATTCTTACAATTCTGTAATTCTTTGAAATATTACATCGATATTCTACTAATTTTATCGAAATATATTTAAGCCTATGTCCGAAGATACCTATTAGATTTTTAATCGTTTAAATAATGAATGTTATAAATGCTTGTCTTATTTTAACTCCTAATTCAGTTATTTCCGGTTGTCACCACGTTTTTTTAATTTATAAAGGCTATTAAATTGAAAGTGACTAAAAGAAAATTACAATAAAATAATAATTTTGATTACAATAGAAATTCTTAAATTTTTTTTTTTTTTTAAAAAAATATAAGATTTGTACGATGTATTTGTACATTATTTCTTCCTAAAAAAGAAAGATGTTGAAAGATGTTGAAAAATGGTAATAATTTTTAATCAATGGTTGCAAGTGGGATTTTCATCTTTGTTAAATATTTATTTTTTGTGTAAGTTTAGTGTGACCAATATCTAACCTCCCTTAATTTTATGATAGTGGTACACTAGTGGTCAAAATTATAAGACACACCCAATTTTATATTTCACGCGTTTAGATTTTGGGCTTGTACACAATCATATACGTTTAAATCAACAAATAAAAGCATGAATTTTTTTTCTTCATATTATGTGTTCAAAAAATTAAAAGAAAACCGCTTATTTTGCATTAGTTCTATTTGCAACTTAATTCTTACTTACATTTTCGTTAAAAATGCTATTTTTACAAATACAGCAAATTTCAGCCATTAAATCATTTTAAAGGCTTTTAAAAAAAAATTTACCATCATCCAATTGCGTAATTTTTTTCCTACATGTTATTTGGATAATTAAGTTTGATAAAAAATATTTTCAAGTAGATTCAGTTAAAAATATTCAAACTACAAGCAAATAATGAAAATTTTTATCAAGGTAAAATTAAATATTTTTGGTTTTTTTGGTAATGTACTGTTGAATAAGTTAATATTTTCAATATAATAGGTAAAAATTACGTAAAAACGTATATTTTATGTTATTTCAATTAATTTATTTAGAAACTTAATATAGATATTTATAAACTTACACAATAACGGCAACGAACAGTTGCAGAATCGGTAACACTTATGTCTTTCACGCTAAGGGTACGAAGTTCGAATCCGTCTGTACCAATTAATAAAAAAAAAAAAAACCCAGCACAGGGGGGTCGCGGCACAGTGGTGACGTGGCATAGTTGGATCAAGTATAATGATATCTGACAGTGATTAAAATCACTATCAAAAAAAAACGCTTCGATGCAAATCTTTAGATAGTGTTTAATTTTAAAAAATTGGTGGATTATTCCAAAAGCTTCATAAACTGCTAGTTCCTTATTAATATCCTGATTAAGA